TGTACTTTTTATTACAGCTCTATTGAGGTATAATTTGCACACAGCAAAACACACCCATTATAGGTATAGCATTGAATGCTTTTTAGTACATTTATAGAGTTGTGCAACCAGCACCATTGTCCGATGTTAGAACATTCCACCCCCGCAAAAAGTGCTCCACGTGCTGTTTCATTCAGTCGACCCAGTCCTCCCGCCAGCACCGTGCAACCACGGATCTGCTCTTTGTCTCTACAGGTGTGACTTTCCTGGAAGTTCTATGTGAATGGGATAAGCATCTGTCTGTAGTTTGTTCCTTTTTACTGCAAAATAATCTCATTGCAAAGAATTCTGTTTATCCTTTTACCAGTCGATGAATTGTTTTCAGTTTTCGGCTTTATACATGATGCTGCTATGAATATTCACGTGCAAGTCTGTGTGGACATCTATTTTCATTTTTCCTCGGTAGATGCCTGGAAGTGGGATGGCTAATTTATGTGGAACATGTATGTTTATTTTTTTTAAGAGGCTGCACCATTTACATTCCCACCAGCGGAGGATGAGACTCCAGTCTCTGCACGTCCTCCCCAACACTAGTGTCGTCAGTCTTGGTGTTATAAGGCTGTGCTCTGACCAACTGAGCTAACTGGCCAGCCCTCGAAAAATGGAATTCTTGGTTGAAACTTTTTTCTTTTGGCACTTTGAATGTCGATCTCTTGCCTTCTGTCACTGTGTTAGTCTGTTCTGTGCTGCTATAACAGAATACCCGAGATTGGGTCATTTATAAAGAACAGAGGTTTATTTGGCTCACAATTCTGGGACAGCTGCATCTGGCATGGGCCTCAGGCTGCTTCTACTCATGGCGGAAAAGCAGCAGCCAGTGGTTACAAGCAGATCACATGGCGAGAGGAAGCAAGAGAGAGAGGGGAGGTGCCAGGATCCTTTAAACAACCAGCTCTCAGGGGAACTAATAGAGCGAGAACTCACTCATTAATCCCCCCTTCCCCAGGGAGAGCGTTAATCTATTCATGAGGGATCCGCCCCCATGACTCAATCAGTTTCCAACACTGCCACATTGGAGATCTGATTTCCGCATGAATTTTGGAGGGGACAACACATCCAAACTCCATCAGTCACCCATTATTTCTGATGAGAAGTCAGTTGCTAATTGTATTATCTCTGTACATGATAAGTCATTTTTTCTCATGCTGCTTTCACATTTTCCCTTTTCTTTCAACAATTTGACCCAGATGTGTCTAGGTGTGTGCATCTCTTTGCATCTCGTGTGATTTTGGTGCAAAGCAGCATACCTGTCAGTAGCATGGTGGCTCATTTATAGTACTGTTTAATTTAAAGGTAGCAGGGCATGGAATTAGCTGCCAAGGCCTCAAGCATAAATCACATGGGATGATGCATAAATCCCAATTTTCCTGGGATAGTTCTGGTTTACATCTACTGTCCTGATGTAATAACTAATATTATTCCTTTTGCACTCAAAAGTTTCTGGTTTGAATTATAAGCTGTAGAATCATTCTAATTATAGTCAATAAAATTCATGCATATGAAGTATTGTCTTTGGCTTCTGAGAGTCAATAGTAGACCATATAATTCAGAAACAAATAGAAAATGCACGCACACACTTTTTTGGGGTGTTCTGGACTCATGACTGTAAAACAGTCTGTAGAACTCCATTAAGAGTTCAAGTTTGATGGTTCTGTAATCCTTACATTGTTGCAATGAGGGACAGAGGCAAACCCAAAGCATTAGACAGTAGTCAAGTCTTTTGGGTATTTAAGGAAACACTGCTTCTTTGGGGAATGAGAAAAGAGAGTGGGTGTTGGTTGTGTCGAGAGCCCATGTGTTAAGTACCGAGCCAGGTGCTTTTTGTTCACAATTTCATTTATTCATCATTAGATCTCAGTGAAGCAGGAATGATCATCCCTGTGAGTTGGGGAACCCAGTCTCAGAGAGGTCAATAAGTCTCCCAGGGACACAGGGCTGGGAAAAGAGACAGTATGCCCACGCCACAAACACCACTGGAGCCAGGACCCCGGGCACTAGGACGCTGAATAATGGTTCATGGGAGGAGGTCGGAAAAGCAGATGGAGGGATGGCGGCCAGTCTGAGTGTGGACGCGGGGCGCAGCGTCACCAGCTTAAGGCAGTGATTTCACAAGCAAGCAGCGCAATCAGAGGGTGTAGTCGAGTCCATTTCTTTCTTCCCGGATGGATGGACGGGGAGGGGAGCGGGGACGACGGAAGAGGAAAGAGTCTGGGCGTGAGGGCTACGCACCAGGAGAAGCTCCCAAGTTCATGGTCCAAGCGCCGAGACTCTGCTGGACAGGCTGCGTCCCCCCGGGGCAGCCTCAAATGTTCATTGTCACCATGATGAACTGGGAACAAAAAGAGAGAGAGATGCGGGCATCGTCCCTCCACGTCCCTACTGGCCTCAGGAGCAGCCCCGGCTCGTTTATGTCGCCAGAGCTCTGACATCTAAACATTATTCTGCCTGCACACTCGGACTCCTGCTCAACAGGAAGCCACTTTTGTAAATAAGTGAATTCTCAGCGCTTTAGGTCTTCCAGGGGTATTGAGCCCTTTCCAAGTGAGCTCGGGCCAGATGCAGCCGGCGAGACAGAGAGAGATGGTAAAATGAGCTTTGTCCCATGGGAGGGACAGCTCACGGAGGCGCCCTGGGCAAGGCAGTACACGGGGCCTTTCCTCTTTGGCGAGGGGTCCCCTCACCTTGGGGAGAGAAGAGACCTCCCAACACAGAGGGACGGCAGGAAAGGGACATGGCTCCATGGCCGGGGCCTTCACAAGAGAGCGGGTGGAGTAGCAGGTGGTTTCCTCTCTGGGGGCCACCGTGCCTCCGCCTGCCCTCCAGCTTGCCTGTCATGGCATGGTGGCCAGGAGGAGGCACGCAGAGCAGCTGCAGGTCAGGCAGTGCAGCCCTGGGAAGCTCCCAAGGTCGGCTGGACGTGGCGGCTCCAACCTGGCTGCGTGCTGGACTCATGGGGGCATTTAGAAAACACCAGTGCTTGGCCTCCACCCCCGGAGAAGCAGATTTAATCGGTTCGGGGCATGGCTGGGACATCAGGATTTTAAAATCTCCCCAGGTCATGTAACCTGCATGCAGAGTCAAGGACGGCAGGCTCAAAGGCAGAGAACTCAGGCTTTTCCTGTTGTCCTGGACAGTGGTCACTGTGGGGCGGGGCAGGAGCTCGTTCCAGGACCTGGGGCCACTTGGGTTGGAAGTGACACTGGGGGCTGAGCAATGGAATGCTCCCTCCACGCCACTGTGTTCTAGGGCCTTTGCCCAGCCATGAGGCTGCTGAGTGACGAACCTGCCACTGTCCCCTTCCTCCATGGATAAGGGGCACACTTCTTCCTGCTTATTAGTGGCAAAACCTTAAAGTAAAAGGGAAATAAAATGGGTGTAGGGGCCTCCCCTTGTTTTCACAGGAGAACAGTTAGAGGACATCTTGCATCAGAATCCTGGGACGTTCCACGCAGTCGTCAATCACAGGAGTTACATTTATTGAATGTGCTCTACATGCTAAAGGTCAGAGAGCACAGCGTCTGTTCTCAACGACACCCTAATGCGTCCAGGGATCCAAGATACACACGTGAGAAGATCGGTGACGAGTCAGCAGAATAAATTGCCAAATTACGTGATATTATTATAAACCAAACTTTTGGTGTCAGATTAAGGTCTGGATCTCGTTCTGCAGATGGGAAACTGAGGCACGGAGCAGGTTGATTGATCGGAGTGCAAGTGAGGGAGGAGTTTCCACCGCCCCCCTGCATAAACCACGCTGCCATCAGCCTCTTCATCACAGAATGGTCAGTGAAATGTTGTCCGAACCCAGAGTCACGACTGAGTTTGGAAACGAGCTGATGTGTGCAGTTTGGGGGTGGAAATGGAGGAGACACCCAGAGATCGGGGAGCGGGCCCGGGCTGCCCGGCTGTAGCACAATCAGGTCGAAGGAACAGCAGACCTGGACAGAAAGTCGCAGGAAGAGAACGGAAAAAAGGGAAGTAAAGAAGCCAGAAACCATCGGAGGAAAGCTTAGTGCGGGTTCTCCTCTGCCTCTGGGCAGAGACGGACGTCTAAACCGTGACCCCAACTTCACGGGCACAGGAATCACTGGGCAGCCTGTGAAAAGGAGATTCGGGTTCCGCAGGTCAGGCCGGGCCTGGCACTCTGCATTTCTAACAAGCTCCCCTCGACGATGGCCATGCGCTGGTGGTGGCCACACACTCTGAGACACAGGGGCCAACAGCGATGCCTTGGGGAAGGGTCCTGGAACCCCCCAGAATGCATCCTCTGAGCCTCTGACACTCTGGTCCATGCACTCCCACCCCCTGCATCTGTGCTGCCACGACCCTGTAATCGGTAAAAGGTTTGTATTTCTCAGGGCTTTTGAGGTGTGTGTGTACACGCACACGCACACGCACATGCACACACACATGCACATGCGCACGCGCACACGCACACCACACGCACATGCACACGCACGCGCACTCACGCCACGGGAACCGTGGGATGACGTGAGCAGGGGGAGGGGACAGCCAGGAGCCAGAAGGCAGGCGGGCCCAGGGGCCCGAACGTCAGACAGAGAGCAGAGCTGCAGAGTCTGCTCGCTCCTCCACGGCGACCCGTCCCTCTGTGCCTCAGTGTCCACTTCTGCGGGACGGGGGCACTATCGGTACCTAGCTCAGAGGGTTATTGCAATGATCACATCGATTACTAAATGAATAGTGCCTGGAAAACACGTTGTGTTATCCGTGATCCCTGCTGAATGCTAACGCTCAGGAGAAACCCCACACGCAGGGCTCGCTCGTGGGGCCCCTGCGCAGGACGCCTGGCTGGGACGTACCTCATTTATGTTGAGACGAATGGACTCCTTGGCCTTCGTGCTGAGAGCCTGGAAGACCCCTGAGAGGAGAGACACGAGAAAGGTGTCACTGCAGGGACAGTGTCTGGCAGCCGCAGGCCTTTCTGCGAGGTGCGAGGACGCTGCTCCCTCTGGTGCTGAGCGAGGGTTCCTGCAGCCAGCCGGGGCCTGGGGTGGTCACCGGTGCAGTCATTTACAAGATGCCAGCCGGCTGGTAAAACGTCTCCAGAACGTCTCCCTCTCTTAACCTGCTGAGGGTTACAGATCCCTCAAAATCTATAGATGCCAGAAAGAAAGCACGTGCCTGAAGTT